TTAGACCAATGTCTTGGGAAAGGCTCTGCTGAGCACACCAGGAAGATCAGGAACATTTACATAAAAGACCCAGCGGTCTTCAGATGATCTGGGACAGATTAGAGGAGCGTTACGGCTCGGCAGAGGCAATTGAGAATGCCCTGTTTAAGAGAATGGAGGATTTTCTTGAAATATCCAGCAGGGGGTACCATAAGCTCAGAGAACTAAGTGATTTGTTGCAAGGACCACAATCTGCCAAAGCAAGGAGTGAGGGGCAAGACCTCTCTTTCCTGGACACGGCCAGGGGGATTACACCCAGTCGTGAAGCTCCCTCGTGACCTACAACAGAAGTGGGTTACGTGCAGGTTCGAACAGAAGACAAAACTCAAGCCGCCATTCCCACCAGAGTGCTTGTAGGCTTTGTCCCGGAGCAAGCGAAGATTGTGACTGATCCCAGTTTTGCCTTCATACTGGAGCAGGGCACACCACCCGGCCTCAAACAAAACAGCTTGTGGGTGGCAGTGCATAAAAGTACTAACCCTAGTAAGCAGTGTCCTCTACGTAGAAAGCTGCATCCTCTTCTAAAATGCAGAACCTTCAAGTCTCTAGAACAGAGGTCCCCAACCTTTTGGACACCAGGGACCGATTCTGTGGAGAGAGGTTTTTCTGCAGACCGGAGAGCGCGTGGTTTTGGGTGCTGCCTGCATCCCACAGATGGGGCTTTGCTTGTTTGTGCGGACCGGTTGCTGGCATGCCGCGGCCCGGTACTGGTCCACAGACCAGGGGTTGGGGACCCCTGCTCTAGAAGACCGCTCTCCTAAAAGAGAATCGCGTCTGCTTCGGGTGCCGCTCACCCATGTCACACTTTGTCAGAGACTGTAAGGTTAGTGTATCGTGCAGAGTGTGGCAGCACAGACCACAACCCAGCGCTACTCCCCGGAGTAACTCCTTGGACCACCCAAGCCAACGAGCATGGTGGGGAGCAGAGGAACACTGGTTCAAACACAGCAGTAGTCATCTCACGGCGTATGGAAGTGTGCAAAGATCCAGCAGGTCTTGTTCAAAAAAAATCTGCCTAGTTAAGAGAGTATCCGAAGGGCCACAGGAACCAAGCTTCAAGATATATGCAGTTCTAGACAATCAAAGCAATGGGCCTCCAGCCAGGTGCCCTTTCTTTGACGTGTTTATTATATTAAGTTTATTTTGATTGGTATACTTGAAGAAAAGATGTGCTTTATGGTTACTATCTTGCTCCATTTTTGCTAAAATGGGTGATTTAGGTTCTCAAATCTTTCATTTAAAAACAAACAAACAAGAAATGTATATTTGAAGTACGCAGATACCCAAATCTGCAACTGTGTCCTTTTGCTTTGTGTAATAGTAATGATACATTATTGATTAGTTGCCAAGGCTGCATCAGAGTATAAAAGACAAGATAGCAATGAGACTAACAAATTTAGGGTAAAAGGCAACATTAAAACCAAACACTGTTCGTATTTCTGTTTCTTCTTCTTTTGTGCATGTAATTTCTTTTAAAGTAGATGACTGCGTATCCAGAGGGGTGGGGAGGGTGATAGGAAACATCACTGAGTCTGGATCCAGATGTAGCCATTCTTCACACAGATCCATGGAAATCAGCAAGACTGAAATTAGCTACATGGATTAAGAGGATTAAATTAGCATTATTTGCACCCAGATTAAAAAAAAAAACAGGAGTGGGGCTTAAGTTAGGATTTTTGGAGCTTGTGACTTCTGCAAAACAGATGGGACATCTGGCTATGGCTGGGAGGGAAAAAAATCTTCCGTGAATTTGGCTAATTTCTGGGGTTATAAAAGAACTTCTAGAAGTCAATCCTGTTATAGCTGTTGGGATTATCTCAGTGGTATAAACATGGGATTTTCCTGTTGCATTTGCACAACAGAGGATAGTATAGCATGCACAGCAGCGTTTCCTAAATAGATTTTATGCCTTGTATTCATTCCTATACTACTACTACTACTACTACTACTACTACTACTACTACTACTACTTCTTCTTCTTCTTCTTCTTCTTCTTCTTCTTCTTCTTCTTCTTCTTCTTCTTCTTCTTCTTCTTCTTCTTCTTCTTCTTCTTCTTCTTCTTCTTCTTCTTCTTCTTCTTCTTCTTCTTCTTCTTCTTCTTCTTCTGTCTTTGACTTACAACCATTCAGTTACTGTTCAAAGTTACAGCAGCATCCCCAGGATCACATGATCAAAATTTGGGTGCTTGGCAACTGGCATGCATTTATGACTGTTGCATTGTCCTGGGGTCCAGTGATCACCTTTTGTAATCTTCCCAGCCAGCTCGCAACAAGCAAAGTTAACGGGGGAAGCTAGATTCACTTAATGATCGCCCGACTCCTTTAACACCTGCAGTAAATGTCATAAAATGGGGCATAATCCATTTAACAACTGCTTTGTATAGCAACGGAAACGTTGGGCTCAATTGTGGCCGTAACTGTCTATTCTAAGTCCCTCTTAGATGGGTGTTCCAGAGGCAATAGAAACGTTCGCAGTTCTCCCGGTGGTGTTTGCAACTTTAAAGCAGGAACCCGACCTCAGATGGTGTCTCCAGAAGCTTCTGACGTGTCTTCCTGATCCCAGGAATGAGAAAGGGAAGCCCCAAAGAAGCTGGAGTGGTGGAACGCAAAGCTCTGGTGGGCCTTAGCTGTGCATGCAAAATCAGGTCCTCCTCCTCAATGGATGCCTGTTCATCCCTCCGCATGAACTTTTCAAACACTGGATCGCCACTCCTGCACCTGCAACATCTGTCTTTTTTGGCTATTGTCCAATTTGATTTTTCCTCCTCCCTCCCTCCCTCCCTCCCAATGGGTTGGGGGAAAAAAAGTGAATTCTTCCATTAGTAGTCATGCTAGTAGGAAGGTTGAGGAGGGGAGTAATAGATTGTTTCTAGGTTATCTTTTTTTTTTAATGCATATTAAGGCACCACTTCCGCTCCCGCTGGAGCCTGTGGGGTTTTTTGTTTTGTTTTTAGACTTCATCCTTTGTAATTTTGTAATTTCAGTGAGATGGGTGGCAGATAAATGTAATAAATGAAAATAATTTAGGGCACTGGGTTGATGCAAGTTTGAGTATCAAACCAGGCGTGTCTAAATAGAAGTTACGAATCTCTTTGCGGCTGGTTCCCCGGGATTTTCTCAAAAGCACCGTCCAATTCCAGAGCTCTCCTCCAAATAATCCACCACAGGGATCCTTACAGCCTTGTGGAAGTCACAACCCGACAGGTAGTCCTCGACTTACGACTAAAAGTTTCCATTGCTAACCAGGGCAGTTGTTAAGCGAGTTTTGCCCCATTTTACGACCTGTTTTGCTGCACTTGTTAAGTGATTCCATCCAGTGGATAAGCGAATCATGCAATCAGAATAACAGGAGTTGGAAGGGACCTTGGAGGTCTTCTAGTCCAACCCCCTGCTCAGACAGGGAAACCCCGATCATTAAGCAAATTTAGCAAATTTAGCTTTGCCGTGGACTTTTGTCATAAGGTCGCAAAAAGGTGATCGCCTGACCCTGGGACACTGCAACGGTCATCAATCAGAACCAGTTGCAAGTATCTGAATTTTGATCGCATGACTGCGATGCGATGGTTGTTAAATTTGAAAATCAGTCCTAAGTCAATTTTCCAGTGCCGTTGTTAACTTCAGCCACTAAAGAAATGGGTTTTAAAGTCAAGGTCTACCTACCCAGGAAATGGTCTTCCACGCTGGCCCTCAAAATTCACACAGAGAACAAATGGTAAGGATTGATCGAGCATTTTTATAAGGAAACCTGGACGGAGGTTTTTCTGCCAAATTTACTGTTTGCCGGGGGAATTTCACCACAAATATGTGAATTTGGTGAGTCAGACACTGCGACTTTCATTTAAAAAGCTCCAGGTGTGGGGCGGGCTCCCATCTGTGGCCTGAATTGTGATTTCATTGCTGGAGTAAATTTCTGCCAAGGGGACATGATCAGGAAGAAGTCATAAGCCCTTGAATATTTATACTTAGGAATAATCTAATGCACTTTCACTTTATGCGGTCTTGATGTCTCCCCCTCAAAAATGCATCATCCCCTTAGAAGGAAGGTACAAGAGAAGATTTGAGGATGGATTTGCAGATGTACAGAAGTCCTTAGAGGGGGGAAAACATCTTAAGAAAATTCAGAGCAATGTTGACGATGAGAAGAATGTCGATTGACAACTGGAATGAAAAAAAAAACACAGCAAATCAAGGCAAGAGAGACAATGTTAAGTGTCACCACTAAGCTGGACAATGAAGCTCAGATTTCTGGGCACTTAATCCTTAATTTACCACTTGGTTAGATTTGGTAGAAACGTCTCGGCCGAATGCCGATTGCAGAGCAAATAAATCAGAAAATTTAGAAATCCGGGCTCCAGAATTAAAACTCTTTTTTAAAGTTTCTTTTTCCCACTGTTCTGAGTTCACAGATATGTAGCGATTCATTTGGCGGTCCTGGAAGGCAAAAGGAGTAGATTTTGAATGGTTTTCTATAGCTTTGAATTGCTAATTCCCACTGCGCTAGGCTGAATTTTTATACACATCAGAATGGAATAACACAAAAGAGGGTGCGGCATCCCAGCGTCCTAACATTTTACAGACATTTCCCTTGTCCTTCCATGGCTTGTTCTGGATTTCCTTAAAGCACTTTGTGGAAAGCTTAATTCCTTTTCTTTAAGCAACTGTTTCTTATTAGAAGAAGAAAAAACAAAACAGCAGGTTGCCAATTTCCCACTGAAATTAAAGATAAAACAAATGAATACAACCAAAGGTTGTGTAAAGTCCCAGATGGATCGGAGGGGGTGAGAGATCTAAAGTATTTTTCTAAATATATATTTTCTACCCATCTTCTCCTGGTCTTCCCCTGCCACAGGCTTTTCAAAAAAAGCAGAGAAATTGGATGACCTAATAAGCTAATAAGATCAGGAATGCAGCATCCGCGACTGTCGAGGGGCACAATTCCCAAGACGATTTAAAGAGAAAGAATTTATAAAAGTTACGTTTTATTGCACCTCGGAATTAAGAATATACACAACAAATCACTTTTCCTTCAGGGGGGGAGAAAAAAAGGGGAGAGGGGCGGCGGCAAACGAAGGAGACAGGGAGAGGAAGTGGCTACAGAAGAGGAACCGGTTGGATTTAGATCATTCGGAATTAAGCCTGAGACCCTGTCCTCCAAAGGGGTCTCCACGCCTTCAAGACGCTGAGCTTTGTGGCAGGGGAATTTATGCGCGCTCCCCGGGGGCCCCCTTCACGTATTCAGAGTTCCTCATGTTCGTCATGCTTCGTGGAGTCCGAACTGGGTTTAATGAAAACCCCTTCCGTGGCTTTCCAGTAGTTGTGCTGATTAGCGGAATGCATCCCGTGAACTTCCCGCTGGCCCCTGATAGGGTGCCCGTATTGTTCCCCCGTCACGGAAAGGAACACATCAGTCCCCACGTGCTTGAAGCGCACCGCCTCGTCTCGCTCCCAGTAGGTTCCGCCGCACTGCACCATCCACACGTCTAAATCGTCCCCTTCACCGTCGTCACCAAAGGCACTTACTTCCTGTCAGATGCAGAAATGGAAATGGGGTGGGAGAAAAAAAAGAAGGCTGTAAAGACCCATCTTTGTGGTTGTGATTTAAGCCGGGTTTACATCGTAAGCCAGAGCCTGCAAACGACAAGACAACATCTCCAAATGATGGCTGAAGATCCTGGATGCACAAGAGCGTCAACGTAACCTGACCAGATTTAAGATTTGTGGATTTCAACTCCCAGAATTCCCCAGCCAGCAAGATGGGAATTTAATTCTGGGAATTGAAGCCCGCAGATCTAAAGTTAGGAAACCCTGAGCTAGATTGTGTTGGTTGAGCCTGCAGCATGAACACAGTTCCTGTGGCTTGTAAACTGCGGTTTAGCCTGTAAAGCTGAAAGACGGCAACCCAGATGAGAAATGGTAAATTGGGACGAGGACACGATTCAAATTACATGTATACTGTGACTTGCTGAAGCATAAACTGCAACTGCTTTTAAGTCACGAGTACATACACTTGGCTCTGCTTTAGTGCACTGTGACTTAAGTCAATATTTTCTAGAGCAACTTTATCCTTTTTTAAGGCATCAAAGGTTTGTAGCTAATGTCTACAAAAAACAAATAGAAACTGAGAGCAAAAAAATGTTAATGGGGCCTCCCATGGTGTTTTAGATAACGTACTTTCCCTCAGCCCTGTAGCAGCTTCAGAAAATTTAACTTCCTAGTAGAAATGATCAGATTGTTATATCAGTTACAAATAGCTATGAAACACTTTGATAGTCTAAACCGCAACATACACACTGTATGGCATCATTAACCACTCCGCACCAATGTCAACTAGAATGTTAATTACAGAGGTACGGAGTTATCACTCACACTTCCTCTTGTTCTATATATATATATTTTTCCAGAGCTGTTACTAGTATTGATAGTAGCAAGGAGGAGAACTCAAGCAGGCGGAAAAGACTGACATCACACACCCCAGGTCCTTGAAGCCTTATCTAATTGTTCCCTAGAGAAGGTTGATAGATTGGGGAGATTCCTGTATTATAGGCAACAGCTTGAACTCTGCATGTGTGGGCCGGGTTGTTTGGGCCTGACAAAAAAAAGGTCACAATTTGTACTGTAGAAAAAAAAATGGCATTAGACTCTGCTTTTTACAAAGCAGTCCTTTATCATTAAGCGGAATTAGAGATATCTTGCCCTTTGTGTATATATGTCTGAGTACAAATTATGCTGGAAATGTATTTTTGCATAATAAGAAACAACCGAATACCTCAAACCAGCTTTAAGGATTTAATATTAGAACTGTCAAAAACGGTCCGTTTATGTGTTATAATTTCATTAAAAAATTCACAAAACTGAGGGCACCGTCTCATCAAAAGCAAAATAAAATAAAATAAGCACAGCAAGACGTCTTTCTTAAATTGGTATAGAGTTATGCTGAATATTGGGGTCCCCAACTGGCACCAGGCCACGCAAACAAGCAAAGCCCCCTTTGCAGAATGCAGGCAGTATGTGAAATCATGCCCTCTCCGGTCCACGGAAAAACCTCTCCACGGAACTGGTCCCTGGTGCCCCAAAGGTTGGGGGCTGCTGTTGTATATCTGTAGTATCAAATGGCAGACAACAAATTAAAAAGCATAATTGACTTTCAACCAGATGAGTATTCCTCCTAAAGCTCCAACTCAATAGTAGAATCAATTAGATTTAAATGTATCCATGCAGCTGAAATATATCAAATACACTCCAATTTTACCTGGTTGTTGGAGAGAGGTGATGGGAAGTGGTGGGTGTGCAGATTCTTCCCTGTGTTGACATGAGTAAGTCGGACTGCCTGCCCACATTTTACTGGTACTCCTCGTTGGCAGGATCCATCAATTTTGCCCCTGATCCGCCAATAGCTGTTCGCATCATCTGATCCTTCGACTCCGGTCACTGACTGTTGACCACTACCTAATAACAAAACATCATCAATGAATGGTTGTGCTGATATTATATGTTCCCAAGAAGAATGGGCAGAAAACACAATCATTATGTTGTACTACTTTCCTGTTTCCTTTTTCCTGATCCATCAATGGCGAATACGGAAGACCGCAAAATGAAATCTCTCTGTACAAGGTTTTTACTGTTTACTTTTCACATTGACAGCTCTGGGAAACTTCAATAAGGTCACCAAATGTACATGTAGAAAATAAACAATACAGAAGCAAACTAGCTTTCAATGACAGATAAGGGACTATACCCTAGAATATTCTGCCAATCACTTAAAAAAGGGCCATAGCAATAATAATCATAATAATGAGGCTTATTAGCTTTCCAGAGGTTGAAGAACAACGCAAACTCCTTCCAACCCTATTTAAAGCCCATTTTGTACACTACACACACACACACACACACACAATGTTAAACATAGTACCCAGCAGCTTCTAGTTTTTATTTTGTGATTTTATTCACGGAGAAAAGACACACGGCTGCCCTTCTTCGATAAATCCTTTATGGACCGTTTGGCAAAAGCCAAGAGGCGACTAAAGGACTCTTAGACCCATCTTTCCCAATATCCCCCATTCAAAGTAGAGCCTCCCCATTCAGGATTGGTCTATCTTAATACAAGGCACCATCAGCTCCCCCACTCATCTTTCAGGATATCCCCCATTCATAATAGAAACTCCCCATTCAGGAGGTCTCTATCTGAATNTTCAGGATATCCCCCATTCATAATAGAGACTCCCCATTCAGGAGGTCTCTATCTGAATACAAGGCACCATCATTCCTTCCCCCCCCCCCAACTAAAGGACTCTAAGGCCCATCTTTCCCAATATCCCCCATTCATAATAGAGACTCCCCATTCAGGAAGTCTCTATCTGAATGCAAGGCACCATCATTCCATTCCCCCCCTTGCAACTAAAGGACTCTAAGGCCCATCTTTCCTGATATCCCCCATTCATAATAGAGACTCCCCATTCAAGATTGGTCTATCTTAATACAAGGCGCCATCAGCTCCCCCACTCATCTTTCAGGATATCCCCCATTCATAATAGAGACTCCCCATTCAGGAGGTCTCTATCTGAATGCAAGGCACCATCATTTCCCCCTCCCCCACATCTAAAGGACTCTTAGACCCATCTTTCCCAATATCCCCCATTCATAATAGAGCCTCCCCATTCAAGAGGTCTCTATCTGAATGCAAGGCACCATCATTCCTTTCCCCCCCCCACAACTAAAGGACTCTTAGACCCATCTTTCCCTATATCCCCCATTCATAATAGAGACTCCCCATTCAGGAGGTCTCTATCTGAATGCAAGGCACCCTCAACCCTCCCACTATAAAGGACTTAGGGCCGTGTTTCCCGGTAGCCCCCGTTCATGAAGACAGAGCCTCCCCATTCAGGAGCCGTCTACCTGAAAGACCCCTCCCTCCTTCCCTCCCATTCTTTCTTTTCTTTCCCTCCCTTTCTCTCTCTCTCTTTCCTCTTCCCTCCCTCCCTTCTTTTCTTTCCTTCCTCCCCCCCGAGGGGTTCCCGGCCACCCCAGGCTGGGGATTCTGGGAGTTGCGGTCCGCGCTTCCCCTGCCGGCCCAGCTCCCTCCCCGTCGCCCGTTTCTCCTCACCGGATCCGTACTTGACCTCGTGCGAGTGCAGCCGGACGTTGTGCCGCGTGTTGAGCAGCTTCAGCACCGAGCCGCAGGTGACAGCGCCCGCCTCGGCCTCCTTCGACCGGCCGGGGCCGCAGGCCAGCAGCACGAGCAGCAGCAGCGGCGACGGGGAGAGGGAGCCGGGCCCGGCCGAGGAAGAAGCGCCGCCGCGCGGTCGCCTCATCTCCGTTCCTGCCGTGGCTCTCCCGGCGGCGGCGGCGGCAGTTCGAGCTTTCGCCTCAGAAGCCGTTTCCGGTACCGGCGACGGCGGCAGCCAATCCGCGGCTGCCAACGCAGAGCACGTGTTCCGGTTCCGCCCCCCAGCAGGGCGAGGCGGGAGAGCGGATAGGCTCGAAGCACGCGGCAGGGCGACCAATCAGCTGCGGCGGCGTGGCGGCCAGGAAAGGGGCGGGGCCGGGCGGAAAGGCAGAGGATGGAAGGGTGGCCGCGTCTGCCCCCCAGAACCGGAGCCTTGAAGAAGATGCCGGTTCGAATCCCGCCTTCCTATCACGTGATCTTTAATTTGTTCAAAGGAAGGCTCTTATTAAAATATCTCCAGTTTGGGGGATTAAGGGTTCCTGCTATGGTGTTTACTCAACCAGACGATCGTTCTTAGAGTGTTGAAAGATTAAAAAGGGAGCTATTTATTGGTGTATTATGTCAACTGGCATGCCACTTTAATCTCTAGGTAAGGGAGAGAGAGAGAGAGAGAGAGAGAAAGCAAAAAAGAAAGAAAGAGAAAAAGGAGAGAAAGAAAGGGGGAGAGAAAGAAAGAAAGAAAAACAAGAGAAAGGGGAGAGAAAGAAAAAAGAAAGAGAAAAAAGAAGATAGGAAAAAGAGAGAAAGAGGAGACAAAGAAAGAAAAATAGAAAGAAAAGGAAGGAGAGTGAGAGAAAAAAGAGAGAAAGAAAGAGAAAAAGGAGAAAGGGAAGAGAAAGAAAAAGGAAAGAAAGGGAAAAGAGAGAGAAAGAGGAGAGAAAGAAAGAAAGGGGAAAAAGAAAAAGAAAGAAAAGGGAGGAAGGAGAGAGAGAAAAAGAGAGAAAGAAAGAAAGAAAAGGAAGGAGAGAGAAAAAGAGAGAAAGAAAGAAAGAAAGAAAGGAAGGAAGGAAGGAAGGAAGGAAGGAAGGAAGGAAGGAAGGAAGGAAGGAAGAAAGATGACAACAGACCAAATACATGAATAGGGATCCAGTCTGGTTAAATTGAAGTTTTTGCACGAGGCGTTTCTATTCTTTGAGAAATGGACCATTCCTATTTTGGAGGTGACACACTTTCTGTTTATACAGAGCAGGGCATGCGAGGCAATATTCCAGGGGGTGTGAAAATTTGGGTTTAAAATTTGTATAACTTTGTCTTATTTTTTTATGTTCACGTCATTCAAAATTTGTTTAAATAAATTGGTTGCTCAAAGTATATATTCGCTTTCATCCTCTTCAAACCAGGTATTACTTTTGTAAGAGGCGCGAGAATATATCAGAAGCGTTCTAGGGGTGCAGGGTATAGAAAAGGTTGGGAACCGCTGATATAGAGTGACAAAGAGAGCAAACCCCACTCCCTTCTAGCATTGGTAACGTTACCTAGTTGGGTCATGAAACATCTACAAGAAAATCACCAAGCGCAGAGAGCATCAAGGACTCCCCAGTCCCCCTCCTCCTCCCCTTCCTCTTCCTCCTCCTCTCCGCAAACCCCACTCCCTTCTAGCACTGATGATGTTACCTAGTTGGGTCATGAAACGTCTGCCAGAAAACCACCCAGCTCAGAGAGCACCCAGGACCCCACACTTCAACTCTGAGCTACAAATATTCCTTTCTAAGGAGGCTTTGTTCCATGAGTAAAGTAAAGTATAGTATAGATGGGAAGCCAAGAAAAAAAGGCCTTTTAATGTCAATTTAAAAAAAAAAAGTGTGTAAAACTCAAGACATCTCCGACCAGGTGGAAGAGAGGCTAGACTCTGAAGAATAAAACTCAACATTTTTCCTGAATTCCAAAATAAACCTCAATATCGGAAAGTTCAACGGGCTGGTCATCCTGCGGGTGAGACACCGGTTAGATGCAGCGGAGGGGGAAGGCACGGATCTGACGTAGACAAATGTATATCCTTGAGTTTTCAGATTTTGGGCAGCACCGTCTTGCTCCCGTCTCCGGCAAAGCTGGACTTCGGAGTCAAAGATTTCTTCCCCTGAGCTTCAGAGCCCTGGCTGGTGGCGTCCACCTCTGGTAAAAGAACGGCAGGGGCGGCTTTTCGAACGGACCACGAAGACCTTGTGCCAAGAGTGCCAAGAGCTGAAGGAGATTTCTCCAAGTCCTGAGCTCCCGATTTCCTATGATTGTCTGTCGTGACGGTTGAGACCTTTGTGCTGGAAGGAGAGAGTTTGGAGCTTGCTAGTTGGGTGCCCCCGTTCTCATCCGCAGAGGGCTGTTCAGCATCCGATGGGAACTGGGGAGGGACGATCTCAAAAATCTCCGGCTCGCTCTCCTCCGATACGCCTTCCTTTTTGCTGCCCTGGTCTCCGTGCTGTTTCATGGCCACCACTTTCCCTTTGGGCATGTCCAGTGGCTTGGAGAACAGGCCCTTCTTCTCCTCTGTTTTTTTCTTCTCTCCAGCTTTCTTCTCTTTCTTCTCTTCCCCTTTCTTCTTCTTCTCCTGTTTGGGCACTTTGGGCTTGGCCGGCCGCTTCTTGGAGACCTCATCGTAAACTTTGGTCCAGTCGATCTGAGAAGAGAGACGTATCCCGCTACCCTTGATCTTCTTGTAGCCGAACATGATCTCCAGCAGAACCTTGGTGACCGGGACCGAGATGAAACCCAGTTTCTCGGACAGGAGCGTTTCGTAATTGTACTTGTACAAGATCAGCTTGGCGGCGTTTTCGATCAGGAAGTCGATGATGGACTGCTTGGGAAGGGGCTTGCCCTGGAGACGAGCCCGTTTGATATCTTTGGGAGTGATCATATGCCTAGTCTGAAGAAGCAGGAGAAAAGGAGAACCAGGTTTAAGGAAGTGGCGAAGAGAAGCTCTTAAAATAAAAACGTGCTCGGAGGTTACGGGGCTGGGAGAGGTGGATTCCCGGGGAGGCCGTCTGAACCCCTGGGATAAAGGGGTCCCAATGAAGAGAGTGTAGAGAAACGTAAATAAAAATAAACTTCCGTGGCATGACAAGGAGGTGCCAGAATATTAAAAGGCCACTGGGATTGTATTCTTTCTTCGGGTTTCTTTAGAAAATATTGTATAGGCCATAGTGACGATTAAAGGCAGGACATGTTTACAGGTGCTTAATCCAACCCAATTCTACCAATCCAACCCAATCCATTTGCTATCTAATCCAAATCTAATGGTAGGAGAAAAGAGGGCAGGACCTGGGGCGGAGTTAAAAGAGGCATCAGCCTAGAATCCCTAAGTAGCCACAAACAAGCTCTTTTGAATTCCACTGACCCTGAGCTAAAGTCCAGCAATTGAGAAGATTCTTGTGCAATAAATGAGTGCAAAATAAACAAATTGGTACAATAAAGTGCCATGAATCGGTACAAGATCACTCGGGCCCTCAAGTGTGTGATCTGATCTTTTGCACCTGACACCAATCTGAGCAACACAACCCAGCCCAGTTTAGTCCAGGCCAGTTCGATCCATCTGCTATCTAATCCAGAGTTATCCGATCTAACTTAATGCAATCCATCTCCTCTCTGTAAATCCGATGTATAACCTAACCTGATTTGATCTCGTATGATCTGGTACCTAATCTATTTCATCCTCCAGCTCCTTTCGGGAGCACCCCCGCGCCCCGTCTCCATAACTCTACTGGCTGACAGAACTCTCACTTGTTCCCCGTTTCCTCTGCTTTCCGTTACTGAAATGGGATCTCGAGAGGGAAGCTACGTTGCGGAAGGGAGATCTCCGCACCCTTTGCAGACCTCTGTGGAACTAAAGGACCAAGGCTTCTTCTCTGCTCTTTTGGTAGCCAAGGTTAAACAGGGCGTTGGACACAAAAACACGTCTTCCGAAACATAGGAAGGAATCAGGATGGAGTGATGAGCAGGCGCTTCGTAGGTCAAGGACCAAAATAATTGCTCTATCAGGAGAACAATCTCCCCATATGTTCCACCATGGTTTACCACCGTTGACTCGTGGAGAAGACCTCTTGGCCAGCTTTCTCCACCCCTAGCCCTCCAGAATGGAGGAGGAGCCCAGTTCCCAGCATCCCTAGCCTGTACAGCTCAGCATTCTGGGAACGGTGGCCCAGACATGCCAACTTTGTCTTGGCCTCTCCCGAGCTTTTTGAGAAAAAACCCTGCGCAATTACCGATTTGGTGGTCTCCGTTTCACCCTGGCTTGGCTCTTGCTTCTTCTGTTTGGATTTCGGGAGGGGAGGTGGGACGTATCTTGACTTGGTCGGGGCTTCCTTTGTTTTGGAGGGCGGGCCGGACTTGCCTTTCCGAGTGGACTCCTCCGGAGTGGTTGGCTTCTGTTTGGATTTGGGGAGAGCAGGTGGGGTCTGTTTTCCCTTCTCCTCCTCCGAGAGGGTCTCCTTCTTCTTCTTGCAGATCCCGTAGAACTTGTCTTCCTCGGTGGTTTCTTCCTCGCTTTCATAACTTTCGGAGATGCTCTCCTCCTCCTCCGAATCCCAGGAGGTCGAGTAGCCACCCTCATAGAAGAAATCGACGATGCCGCCCGTCACGGTGGCCTCCACAATTTTGAGGACCGCTTGGTTGATGACATCCTGGAGGCCTGCCAGGATATTGGTTTCTTCTAAGAACTCCAAGACGTGCAGGTGCTCGTGGCAGATGTAGTGCAGCGGGAGGCCATGCCGAATCGGCCGCTTCAAGACGCTGGTGATTTCCTTGTGAAGCGATTCGAAGGACAATGAGTCTTGAGGAAGGGCTCTCTGGAACTTGGCAAAAAACTCTCTCCTGGGATGCTGGAAGGACTTGGCCCAGATCTGCAGATGTTGCTGCTGGAAGTAACTCTCTCCCGACTGCTCGGAAAACGACTGTGGGGGAGGAAGAGAGAGAGAGAACGGGGAAAAATCAGAAGAGAGCAAATTCATTCTAGTCACCAAAAGGGCATCTTTGGGGATAGGGGGGAAGAGAGTAGAGTAGAGTAGAGTAGAGTAGAGGAGAGTAGAGGAGAGGAGAGGAGAGGAGAGTATTGAATAGAATAGAATAGAATAAGAAGGATGAAGAATAGAATAGAAT